TTGATGTAGTCTCATTTGTTTATTTTTTCCTTTGTTTCTCTTGCCCTAGGAGATGTATCTGTAAAAATACTGCTCCATGAGATGTCTGAGATTTTATTGCCTATGTTTTCTTCTACGATTTTTATGGTTTCGAGAATTAAATATTTTATCCATTTTGAGTTTATTCTTGTGTATTCTGTAAGTTGGCGGTCTACTTTCATTTCTTTGCAAGTAAGTACCTGTCCAATTTTCCCAATACTATTTATAGAAGAGACTATCTTTACTCCATTGTATAGTCTGGCCTCCTTTGTCAAATATTAAGCTTGGGTCGATTTCTGGTTTCTCTGTTTTGTTCCATTGATCTTTATGCCTGCTCTTGTGCCAGTACCATCCTGTTTTGATAACAATAACTTTGTAGTATAGTTTGATATTTGGTATTGTGATTCTTCCAACTTCGTTCTTCTTACTCAAGATTGCTGTGGTTATTTGGGGTCTTTTGTGGGTATATATATTTTTGGATTATTTGTTCTAGATCTGTGAAATATGACTGGTATTTTCATAGGGATTGCATTGAATCTATAGATTGCTTTGGGTAGTATGGACATTTTAATTATGTTAATTCTTCCAATCCATAAACACGTTACATGCTTCCACTTGTTTGTATCTTCCTCTATTTCTTTTTTCAATGTCCAATAATTTTTTAGTACAGGTCTTTTACCTCCTTGGTTAAGCTTATTCCTAGGTATCTTATTTTTGTTGTTGTTGCAGTGGTAAATGGGATTGTATTCTTAGTTTCTCTTTCTGAGAATTCATTATTAGTGTATACAAATGGCATCAGTTTCTGGATGGTAATTTTGTATCCTGTTCATTGCTGACTTCATTTCTTAAATCGAGCAGTTTTTTTGGTGAAGTCCTTAAGGTTTTTTATGTACAATATGTCATCTACAAATGATGACAGTTTTACTTCTTCCTTTCCAATTTGGATGCCTTTTATTTTTTCTTCATGTCTGATTGCTGTGGCTAGGACTTCCAGTACTATGTTGAATAGGAGTGGTGAAAGTGGGCATCTCTGTCTTGTTCCTATCTTAAGGGAAATGCTTTTAGTTGCTACCCATTAAGTATGATGTTGGCTCTAGGTTTGTCATATATATCCTTTATTATGTTGAGGTATGTTCCCTCTATTCCCACTTTGCTGAGAGTTTTTATCATATATTGGTGCTGGATTTTATCAAATCTGTGTCTATTGATATGATCATGTGATTCTTATTTTTCATTTTGTTTATATGATGTATCACATTTATTGATTTGCAAATATTATACCAGCCTTGCATCCTCAGGATAAAACCCACTTGGTCATGGTGTATGGTCTTTTTAATATATTGCTGGATATGGTTTGCTAATATTTTGTTGAGGATTTTAGCATCCATCTTAATCAGGAATTTTCTTTCTTTGTAGTGTAATTTTCTTTCTTTGTAGTGTCTTAATCTGGTTTTTGAATTACGATAATGCTGGCCTTGTGAAAAGAGCATGGAAATCTGCCCTCCCCTTGAATTTTTTGGAATAGTTTGAGGAATACAGGTGTTAGTTCTTCTTTGAATGTTTGGTAGAACTCGCCTATGAAACCATCTGGTCCAGGACTTTTGCTAACTGGAAGTTTTGTTTGTTTGTTTTTGGTATGTGTGCTCTTCTAAATGTATTTCAAGTTCTTTCTGAAACAAGGCCTTAGGAACCCTCAGGTTTAAGAGTATGCCTCTGGGCTTGGTCCACTGACGTCTTGTATTCATGCTTGGGTACCCATTCATCAATATTGAACCCCTGGATAGAAGATGTGACGAAGCAAGACCCCTCCTCCATGGCATGAGTCCTCTGCTAATTTCAGAGGTGGCAGCAGTGGCCCACGTGGAAAACACACTGGGCTCTTCCTTTGGAAGTGGGCTGCGATGAGAAGTGCCTGCCAGGAACATCACTATCTTTTCCCTGATCCTTCCTCTCCACTCTCTGAAGATATAGCAAAAAATATATCAATATATTCTTTGAAGATACTGGATAATTCCAAAAAACAAAAACTCATGCATTGTGCTTTCAAATATTCCAGGTTTAGTTCAGCTGTCAGATGAGCTGATCAACACAGTCACCTAGACAGCCAGGTGAGCCCCTTTCCTTGAGGAAGCCTACTCTGTTGATAGTGTGGCGGACCACTGAGAGATGGGAAGGGCACAAGAACCCTGAGATCACCTGGAAATTCTTCCCTGGGAAGGCAATTTCATGAATGAGTTCTTCCAAGCAAATGACACCAAACTTTCCCAGGTGCTCCTCAGTCACTGTGTTGTCTGTCAAAGGGATGATTTTATTCTTGACCTTGGCTTGTCCACATTTCAAGATGAGTTCCTGGACAGACTTCAGATTTGGAAATCCCCAGGTCACATAAGGTTCCACTATACACAACATTTTTATGGTTTGGGTGGTCACTTTGACAAAGACACCACTGAAAATCTTCTTCAGGCAAAGCCTTGCAATGGTTATCTGTACTATTAAACTCACTCCGTCAGTCCTTTGGAAGCGTACAACAAAGGCCAAGGAATGTTCATCTGGCACTTCCAAACCATGTGGTTTCACTTCTAGTCGTCTGAGGCGCACCCTGTCACATTGTTGCTTTTATAACAGAGGAGGGAGACCCCGCCAGTTGGTGGCTGGGGTAGGGGTATGGCATCAAGGACAACTTTCTGGAGGAAGGGCTGTCGATGCTCATCTCTGAGCCCAGGTAGGACCTGAATGGAATTAGGGGAAGGACAGTGCCTATGTGTACAAAGAACCAGCACCCATCCCCTGCCCCACTCCCCACCCCCACTGGCACTGTGTGTGCACCCTCTCTCCCTCTGGCCCCAGGAACTGGAGGTAATGGAGGAGATCGTGGAGCTGCAGGAGGCTGCTGAGAATTATGAAATAGAGCCTGAGGAGCAATTCGGGGCCAGGTTCCGGACGCTGGAGCAGCTCAGCGAGAAGGAGAGGTGAGGTCGGGCAGGGGTTGGCAAGGGCAGGGGTGGGCTCTCCCTATGGCCAGTCCAGGGAACCTGTGTCCAGGGCTCCCTGGTCAGCCCCATACCTTGTTGTGTAGCACCTCCTAGGGCACCTGACACTGGGGGGGACACCTGAGGTGTGGCTCCTGGGAGCTCACAGGTGGCACTCTGTCCTGCAGTTACCTCCCGTCCTGCCAGCTGGGGCCCCAGTCTTAGTTGGCTAGATGAACACTCAGAACTTATTCTGAGACAAAAGGATGCCAGTGAATGATTGACAGCAAAAGTGGAAATGAGTCTTAACATGACCCCATTTTCATGGACTTTGTCCTCATTGGAAGCACAGAAGGATGGAACAGACGCCACGATCACAGAGGGAAGGGGGTGGGGGTGGGGGGGTGAGAGATTAAGCAAATAATTTATTTGGAGACGTGTAACCTAAGGATCCAGACAACACTGTGGCGAAGGCCTGGGGGGGATTGGGGGCG